TCTCTCCTACAAAAAGAATCAAGGGTTTAGTTAGTCTTACACTTAGTACCAGGTCTGGTATGTTGGCCACACCCTCCCTCTCTCCTACAAAAAAAATCAAGGGTTTAGTTGGTCTAACACTTAGTACCAGGTCTGGTATGTTGGCCACCCCCTCCCTCTCTCCTACAAAAAGAATCAAGGGTTAAGTTGGTCTAACACTTAGCACCATGTCTGGTATGTTGGCCACCCCCTCCCTCTCTCCTACAAAAAGAATCAAGGGTTTAGTTAGTCTTACACTTAGTACCAGGTCTGGTATGTTGGCCACCCCCTCCCTCTCTCCTACAAAAAGAATCAAGGGTTTAGTTAGTCTTACACTTAGTACCAGGTCTGTTATGTTGGCCACCGCCTCCCTCTCTCCTACCAAAAAAATCAAGGGTTTAGTTAGTTTTACACTTAGTTCCAGGTCTTTTATGTTGGCCACCCCCTCCCTCTCTCCTACCAAAAAGAATCAAGGGTTTAGTTGGTCTAACACTTAGTACCAGGTCTGTTATGTTGGCCACCCCCTCCCTCTCTCCTACAAAAAGAATCAAGGGTTAAGTTAGTCTTACACTTAGTACCAGGTCTGGTATGTTGGCCACCCCCTCCCTCTCTCCTACAAAAAGAATCAAGGGTTTAGTTGGTCTAGCACTTAGTACCAGGTCTGGTATGTTGGCCACCCCCTCCCTCTCTCCTACAAAAAGAATCAAGGGTTTAGTTAGTCTTACACTTAGTACCAGGTCTGTTATGTTGGCCACCGCCTCCCTCTCTCCTACCAAAAAAATCAAGGGTTTAGTTAGTCTTACACTTAGTACCAGGTCTGTTATGTTGGCCACCCCCTCCCTCTCTCCTACAAAAAGAATCAAGGGTTTAGTTAGTCTTACACTTAGTACCAGGTCTGGTATGTTGGCCACCCCCTCCCTCTCTCCTACAAAAAGAATCAAGGGTTTAGTTGGTCTAGCACTTAGTACCAGGTCGGGTATGTTGGCCACCCCCTCCCTCTCTCCTACAAAAAGAATCAAGGGTTTAGTTGGTCTAACACTTAGTACCAGGTCTGGTATGTTGGCCACCCCCTCCCTCTCTCCTACAAAAAGAATCAAGGGTTTAGTTAGTCTTACACTTAGTACCAGGTCTGGTATGTTGGCCACCCCCTCCCTCTCTCCTACAAAAAGAATCAAGGGTTTAGTTGGTCTAACACTTAGTACCAGGTCTGGTATGTTGGCCACCCCCTCCCTCTCTCCTACAAAAAGAATCAAGGGTTTAGTTGGTCTAACACTTAGTACCAGGTCTGGTATGTTGGCCACCCCCTCCCTCTCTCCTACAAAAAGAATCAAGGGTTTAGTTGGTCTAACACTTAGTACCAGGTCTGGTATGTTGGCCACCCCCTCCCTCTCTCCTACAAAAAGAATCAAGGGTTTAGTTAGTCTTACACTTAGTACCAGGTCTGGTATGTTGGCCACCCCCTCCCTCTCTCCTACAAAAAGAATCAAGGGTTTAGTTGGTCTAACACTTAGTACCAGGTCTGGTATGTTGGCCACCCCCTCCCTCTCTCCTACAAAAAGAATCAAGGGTTTAGTTGGTCTAACACTTAGTACCAGGTCTGGTATGTTGGCCACCCCCTCCCTCTCTCCTACAAAAAAAATCAAGGGTTTAGTTAGTCTTACACTTAGTACCAGGTCTGGTATGTTGGCCACCCCCTCCCTCTCTCCTACAAAAAGAATCAAGGGTTTAGTTGGTCTAACACTTAGTACCAGGTCTGGTATGTTGGCCACCCCCTCCCTCTCTCCTACAAAAAGAATCAAGGGTTTAGTTGGTCTAGCACTTAGTACCAGGTCTGGTATGTTGGCCACCCCCTCCCTCTCTCCTACAAAAAGAATCAAGGGTTTAGTTAGTCTGGCACTTAGTACCAGGTCGGGTATGTTGGCCACCCCCTCCCTCTCTCCTACAAAAAGAATCAAGGGTTTAGTTGGTCTAACACTTAGTACCAGGTCTGGTATGTTGGCCACCCCCTCCCTCTCTCCTACAAAAAAAATCAAGGGTTTAGTTGGTCTAACACTTAGTACCAGGTCGGGTATGTTAGCCACCCCCTCCCTCTCTCCTACAAAAAGAATCAAGGGTTAAGTTGGTTGGCACTCAGTACCAGGTCTGGTATGTTAGCCACCCCCTCCCTCTCTCCTACAAAAAGAATCAAGGGTTAAGTTGGTCTGGCACTTAGTACCAGGTCGGGTATGTTAGCCACCCCCTCCCTCTCTCCTACAAAAAGAATCAAGGGTTAAGTTGGTCTGGCACTTAGTACCAGGTCTGGTATGTTAGCCACCCCCTCCCTCTCTCCTACAAAAAGAATCAAGGGTTTAGTTGATCTAACACTTAGTACCAGGTCTGGTATGTTGGCCACCCCCTCCCTCTCTCCTACAAAAAAAATCAAGGGTTTAGTTGGTCTAACACTTAGTACCAGGTCGGGTATGTTAGCCACCCCCTCCCTCTCTCCTACAAAAAGAATCAAGGGTTTAGTTGGTTGGCACTCAGCACCAGGTCTGGTATGTTAGCCACCCCCTCCCTCTCTCCTACAAAAAGAATCAAGGGTTAAGTTGGTTGGCACTCAGTACCAGGTCTGGTATGTTAGCCACCCCCTCCCTCTCTCCTACAAAAAGAATCAAGGGTTAAGTTGGTCTGGCACTTAGTACCAGGTCGGGTATGTTAGCCACCCCCTCCCTCTCTCCTACAAAAAGAATCAAGGGTTAAGTTGGTCTGGCACTTAGTACCAGGTCTGGTATGTTAGCCACCCCCTCCCTCTCTCCTACAAAATGATTCAAGGGTTTAGTTAGTCTAACACTTAGTACCAGGTCTGGTATGTTAGCCACCCCCTCCCTCTCTCCTACAAAAAGAATCAAGGGTTAAGTTGGTCTGGCACTTAGTACCAGGTCTGGTATGTTAGCCACCCCCTCCCTCTCTCCTACAAAATGATTCAAGGGTTTAGTTAGTCTAACACTTAGTACCAGGTCTGGTATGTTAGCCACCCCCTCCCTCTCTCCTACAAAAAGAATCAAGGGTTAAGTTGGTTGGCACTTAGTACCAGGTCTGGTATGTTGGCCACCCTCTCCCTCTCTCCTACAAAAAAAATCAAGGGTTAAGTTGGTTGGCACTTAGTACCAGGTCTGGTATGTTAGCCACCCCCTCCCTCTCTCCTACAAAATGATTCAAGGGTTTAGTTAGTCTAACACTTAGTACCAGGTCTGGTATGTTAGCCACCCCCTCCCTCTCTCCTACAAAAAGAATCAAGGGTTAAGTTGGTCTGGCACTTAGTACCAGGTCTGGTATGTTAGCCACCCCCTCCCTCTCTCCTACAAAATGATTCAAGGGTTTAGTTAGTCTAACACTTAGTACCAGGTCTGGTATGTTAGCCACCCCCTCCCTCTCTCCTACAAAAAGAATCAAGGGTTAAGTTGGTTGGCACTTAGTACCAGGTCTGGTATGTTGGCCACCCCCTCCCTCTCTCCTACAAAAAGAATCAAGGGTTAAGTTGGTTGGCACTTAGTACCAGGTCTGGTATGTTGGCCACCTCCTCCCTCTCTCCTACAAAATGATTCAAGGGTTTAGTTAGTCTAACACTTAGTACCAGGTCTGGTATGTTGGCCACCCCCTCCCTCTCTCCTACAAAAAGAATCAAGGGTTAAGTTGGTCTAACACTTAGTACCAGGTCTGGTATGTTGGCCACCCCCTCCCTCTCTCCTACAAAAAAAATCAAGGGTTAAGTTGGTTGGCACTTAGTACCAGGTCTGGTATGTTGGCCACCTCCTCCCTCTCTCCTACAAAATGATTCAAGGGTTTAGTTAGTCTAACACTTAGTACCAGGTCTGGTATGTTGGCCACCCCCTCCCTCTCTCCTACAAAATGATTCAAGGGTTTAGTTAGTCTAACACTTAGTACCAGGTCTGGTATGTTGGCCACCCCCTCCCTCTCTCCTACAAAAAAAATCAAGGGTTAAGTTGGTTGGCACTTAGTACCAGGTCTGGTATGTTGGCCACCCCCTCCCTCTCTCCTACAAAATGATTCAAGGGTTTAGTTAGTCTAACACTTAGTACCAGGTCTGGTATGTTAGCCACCCCCTCCCTCTCTCCTACAAAATGATTCAAGGGTTTAGTTAGTCTAACACTTAGTACCAGGTCTGGTATGTTGGCCACCCCCTCCCTCTCTCCTACAAAATGATTCAAGGGTTTAGTTAGTCTTACAATTTTCAGTAGGAAGTGAACACAAGCTAGAGTGAATATTTTCTATAATTATAAACCATGTATTTTTTTCTATTTTTTAAGGGGAACTGTGGTGAGTGTGAAACAATGATTACAGTTTCATTATAATTTTCAAAGAGTTCATTTTTTGTAAGCATGAATAAAGCAAATAACAATTTGACTTAAAATACCTATCGACAGGACAAAAATTCCAAGTAACAGAAAATAGAAAGTTATTGTATTCGGTGACAAGAAAGATATGACATGGAAAACTGGGCTACAGAAAATTGCGAGCAAAAAGTGCGCAAGGGAATTTATTTTCTTTAAATTGATCATTCATAGATGTAAGCAAAGAATGACTGCATGTATGTACATTGTGGCATAATAAAAAAAAACATATTTCCACAAAATATGACAAAGTTAAAGTGTATTAGTACAGTTTATTTGTATTTCCACATTTTCCTGTTTGTGCAGTTTTTGGTAGCGCTGTTTTCTGTTAGTGCATTTCTCTGGGAACTGTTGTATTACCTGATATTGTGTTACATTGTATGTGTTATACATGCAGCATTCATGTATTTTACATGGTGTATGCTGGTTTCATGTATGCTTGGTTTATGACCAGTGTTTCTTTCAGGCATTTATCTTGGGGAGCGCTTGAAACTTTGTGAGAGATGCCGGAAAGAAACTTTGCTCTTTACCCAACTGTTTTAACATTCAGACAAAAACTGTTGTTTTAACACAAGGTTTAAATCTACTCACCAAGTTCCAGACATTTCAAGGTCCACAGGTCATCCATGGCACACAGGTAGCGCCATCTTCGACACACCTGCAGAAAAAAATATGAGGATAGTCAACATGTATTTTAGTTTTTACTTTTAAGTAGGGCCTATTAAGAAATCGTACAGCTAAAACTAAATGAAACAACTGAACTACTGAATATGAGTGTTCTTGTTGATATAGTCTAGAATCACTCATTTTAAATTTTTTAAATTAATAAAATGTGAATATTAATGTCACATTGCATTGTCATCAGATCTTGACCTAAAAAAAATAATGGCTCCATTGTCCAATAGATCACAGGATGATTGCTCATTGTAAATCCAAGCATAAAGCCTGGACAGTAAGATGAGAAGAGCTAGCTGTTGCCCATGTATCAGACCCCCTCTCAATACAAAACTGATGGACCCATGGGACAGGACATTACCTATACAACTTGGGGAAAAAAATAAAATGAAAGAATGTAATAGAATTTATACAGAAAATATATACTTTTACCAGTGAAAAATGAGTCGTCGTCCCCCCCCATCCCCCTTGGAGAAAAAAGTTAGAACAAAACACTGCTTCTATCTAACCTTACCCTGGAGACTTGGAGTAGATCTGCTGGTCCCAGGAAAGACAACACATAGAGCAAAAGTTTGTCTGGCAAATGGTTTATGTCCCTTGAATCTTTCAATCTAGGAGGAATCGGAATTTGAGTAATTGCCAGTTGGATATTTGTTCCAGATGATTTCATGTAAGTATATACTTACATCATATGTATGTATGCAACTGTCGCATACTTAAGTATTCACATGTAACATATTTACATATGCATGATAAGTGTGTACTATATATATATTTATTTGTTCTCATGTTACTACAAGTACTGTAAATAATTAAAGCAAATCCGGCTACACTCGTTTCTTTTAATTATGGAAATGTAAATATTAAATGATAATGTAAATGTGTTGTGTTTACAATGATTGGTTGTTAATGAAGTCCTGCTAGGATTGTCATTAAACATGACACTCAATGCAATTAATTGATAGATAAACTTTTTATTTTAGTTTTTAAGGTCCATAGCACAGATAAAGTTCATCTGTCTTTGACCTCTCTCTATGAAGTAATTGTGGGGTCAGTATTAGGCTCAAGTCTTTACTTTACCAAACTCAAGTCAGGTCATCATGGCTAAACTCAGGGATGTTCAATGGGCTCCAGAGTAGGAACCGAACATAAGACTTTTGGGTTTGCAAATGAGTGAGTTACCACTTCACCACACCTCATTACATGCACCAAGAGAGAATACGACTCTGAAATGTACAAGCCAGACAAACCTTACCTCTGCTGGACGTAGGCACAAAATGCATCCAACACATCAGGTGAGCAGACTTTGATCACCTCCCTTGTCAGTGCTGTCCTCTCATGGCTCTCCCACTGGTCAAACCACTGGACAGAGGACATAAGATTCATGTTGAGACAAGAAACAAATGGTTCATAAGAGAAGTAGTTAACCCACTGGTCAAACCACTGGACGGAGGACACAAGATTCATGTTGAGATAAGAAACAAATGGTTCATAAGAGAAGAAGTTAACCCACTGGTCAAACCACTGGACGGAGGACACAAGATTCATGTTGAGACAAGAAACAAATGGTTCATAAGAGAAGTAGTTAACCCACTGGTCAAACCACTGGACAGAGGACACAAGATTCATGTTGAGACAAGAAACAAATGGTTCATAGAGGAGAAGTTAACCCACTGGTCAAACCACTGGACAGAGGACACAAGATTCATGTTGAGACAAGAAACAAATGGTTCATAGAGGAGAAGTTAACCCACTGGTCAAACCACTGGACAGAGGACACAAGATTCATGTTGAGACAAGAAACAAATGGTTCATAAGAGCAGAAGTTAACCCACTGGTCAAACCACTGGACAGAGGACACAAGGTTCATGTTGAGACAAGAAACAAATGGTTCATAAGAGCAGAAGTTAACCCACTGGTCAAACCACTGGACGGAGGACACAAACATGTTCACATGTGTTCAAAATTCAACAAATAGTTCATAGAGAAGTTAACCCACTGGTCAAACCACTGGACGGAGGACACAAACATGTTCACATGTGTTCAAAATTCAACAAATAGTTCATAGAGAAGTTAACCCACTGGTCAAACCACTGGACAGAGGACACAAACATGTTCACATGTGTTCAAAATTCAACAAAAGTGAAACAAATAGTTCATAAGTGGAAAAATTAACCCAATATTTCTGACTAAGACTACAGTTTTTTACCACTAGACGGGAGTCAGAGAGATGTAGTTATGAAAAGGTTAAATGACCACCAGGCCCATTAAAGGCAGTTATGTGATGAATAATACATTAATATTGATTCAAGTATTTATAGTCATCTGAGATAGTTACTGTCAAATTATCCCTTTAAAGGGAAAGGCCACAGAAACAGATGAAGTCTATTACACCCACCCCATAAACTGTTGTCATCGTACAATACTAAAATCAGCTGGGCAGAGTGCTGACTGAAATGTCAAGTATCAATGGGATGAAATATTAAATTTCTTCTTTGTCTTCAATTGTAGGATCAGAATGGATCAAGCAACGAGTCCGAAAACATTTTTCCTACAACATAATTAAGCATTGTGTGCCAACATGTTACGCACATTTTTCCTACAACATAATTAAGCATTATGTGCCAAGATGTTACACACCATACGGCCCAGTCTTTGTTCACCAGAGAACAATCTGCAAAAGAGCTGTTGTTTTATGTTGGTGTTTTCTCTTCTAGATGGGTTGCTGTCCCCAGATAATGAGCTTAATGTGCACAAGGGGAAAGGGGTTCCAGGAACTGAACTCAGCGCTTTTAGGTTAGCAGTCAACGCTCTACCAACCAGTCATTATGTAACAAATTATTTAACACTTTAGAAGTAAATTACAAATTTTGTATCCTTCTTGTTTTACTTCCAAATCTGAACTTTTAAAATTTCATAAAGTTTTTTAAAAATTTGACCTACTTTCCATATTGTGTCCAGCTGTTCTTTAAAATTTGTGGCCAGTTCTTGTTTCTTGGGCTGATGAAAAAACTTGCCAGATGGGGGCTCAGCAGGCCAAAACTTTGAGTTTTTGGCCAACTTCTGCAAGGAAACTGGCAAGGATCCAAGTCTCAATGGCCTCTGTACTGAACCAGTCCTTAAAAGATGCTGCATTGGCCCTGTGTAGATTAAACAACTAATTTATTCACAGTCAATTCACAGATTTTAACAAATGTTGTGTGTATGTAGGCGGGATGGGAGGGAGGGAGTTAGAAAAGAAAGGGACAGTGCTAAATCTGAGATGATAAAAGAGATTGTTTCAAAGAATTAACAATAAGCTTATTGCTTTTGTCAAGGGAATTCTTTTTGTGATAGGGGTGAGTGAGTTTTTAGTGGAAAATAAAAAAAATTTCTTTATACTAGGTCAATCCATTTAAAAATATATATATATACATTTTTATACATGGAAGTTCTTATCAGTCAAAATGTTCATTTGTTACAGCCAAAATATCTCTTGTCAAAATGTACATCTGTTACTCAGTAAAAAAAACTATTTTAAATGACTCACACAGAATGTCCATATGGAACTTAACTGAAATGTCCATACTTGACACGGCTAAAAAGTTCATATGTGACTGAGACAAAATGCCCATACCAGATTCAGCCAAAATCTTAATATGTGTAAAAAGAAATTAAAAATTGGCTTAAAATAGTTATGCTGGCTCACCTAGGTGCACTAGTCTTTTTCTGTCGAAATATTCCCTTGTGCTTGGTGCGGAGGAAGAAAATGTTCTGTATCGAAAATCCCCAGAACTGCATTTCTCTCTTGTAGCATCAGCTGTTTCTTCGCCAGTGAATTCCAGTTCACGACCTAGAAACTTGGCTGAAGATTTTAATGAAGTCTGGCCATCCGATTTTGTGGCTTGGCTCTGATTGGTTGAAGGTCTGGCATCTATTTGTGGGTCAGTGTCATCTGTCAGCATGGCTTCATCTGTCACTGTGGTGTTGTCCGTCATCTTGGTCTCATCTGTTACCATAGCCTCGTCTGTCATCTTAGTCCCAACTGTCAACTTAGTCTTATCTGTCACAATAAACTCATCTGTCATCGTGACTTCTCTCTCACCGACACCTGTATTGACAGTTATTGTGAGTGGGTCAAGTGATATTTCGGGGATCCTGAGAACACCAGGGTTACCCTCCCAGGTGGGTAAGCCATCGACCGACGCTTTCTTTGATGATCCTGAAGTAAGGACATCATTCAAAGCAGACAGCAGAATGGAAGAAGACAACAAAGAAACATACTGATCCACTGTCATTTTCGGGCCAACTTCATCTTTAACTTTCTTCCTCATTTCATCAGTTTCCTCATTAACCTTAGGTTTATGCTGCGCTGGCGTGATGCTTATAACTGGTGTTGGTCTCACCAGTGTGGCACTTACAACTGGCGCTAGCCTCACTAACTTGTTTGGAGTATGGGCTGTGTTTGAGACCTTCCTTTTAGAATGGGATTTTTTCTTAACCCCATGGGATTTTGTAACCAGCTTTTTCTCCATCAGGGAGGAGAGGGGGTATCCATGGGAGATCACTGACTTGTAGTCTCTGTGACGCAGGGGTTCAAAGGTCGTCGAGAATATTTCCAGTTGGGCAACATTACACCTAGGGAATAAAAAAAATTTAATTTAATTTAATTTGGAGAAAGGGTTGCCTTTTCAATACAGTTAACAAAAAGGTAAATAAATCTTTAAGCCGGCATTTTTGCCACACAGACATAGCTATTATAAAAAATTATTAAAAATAATAGGAGCAGGGGCATAGCTTATATAAATAAGTATTATAAATAATAAGCGATGAAGAAAAAATCTAGGCCTAATTTCTTGAATACCAAAGTATTAAAATAAAATACACTTAATCATGATACAAACCTATTGGCAACTCCATATAGAAAATTCTTCTGTTGCCATGGTTGCCAAGTGTCCATCCACTGACAAACAGTTTGGAAAATCTGCTCATTAACAACACGACTAGAGTGGTCTTCTCCTGAGGTGAAGCTTTTGTGTAAGGGAGGTAAATGGTTGAATATTTCGAAGTTGCCATAACGTAGCCTGGGAAAAGGCTTGGGTGGGGCCCTGTTCAAATCAAGGGGAACGACAGGAACTACTGTCACAGGCATCTGTTTTGGATAGAGGAAATAAATTATGTAAATAAATAATGTTCTGATTTTGTTAAAAAAAAACTGCAGGCTTTTCAGCTGGGGAGAATTTGTCAAATTCTATTTAGCATTATATGACTTGAATATAGCTTGAATCCAAATTATAATGAGCTTTGCTCTGTAATTTAAGTTAACAATTTTTAAATATAATATGGGTTTAAATTCATTAAATAAAATGATAATTAATTAAACCATAAACATTTTTCTTAAAATCAAATAATTAGCTATTAGATTTCAAATACAAAATTTTTTTTTACTTCCGATTATTGTATGCTCAAAAAATTAAAAAAAATATGTTGCTTAGTGATTTATTTAAAAAGGTTGTCTATGTACTTTTATTAATAAAATACAGGCCGAGTGAATATTTTTAAATATTAAGCATTTGTTTTTGTTAAGCCTATAAATCAGAACACCTTTTCACAGATACTGGCACAGGCCAAGTCTCATCAACATTTGTACTGAAAGGGTTTTCACTTGTTGCTGCATTGGTCCTGTATAAAAGTAGCAATAAAAAGATCTGGGTTAGTTTAAAAACAAATAGATCTAGATAGATTCTAGATCCATCTAAGTATCTAATGAATATGAAATAAAAGCTCTACAGTCTTAATATATGAGGCCTACTGTTTTATTACTCTAGATCTATATTTAATTATATTATATTGAATTATGTAGGCTAATGTTACAGCAAGATATAAGCAACTTAATTTATAGGCCTAAATTAGTAGGCCCTAATTGTAAATAATAATTAGGCTCTAATTATAATTATTAGTGCCTATAATATGCCCTATAATAACACCTAGATCTATAATTATATAGGTACTAGATCCTAGTACTAGATCTATCTCTAGATCTTGATTCTAGATCTAGATCTAGACCTCTAGTAATAAATGAATCAATCACAATGAAAAAATGAAAATTAGAATGTTTTGTTTTTTAAAAAGCTTTTTTTTCAGTCTTAGACTAGAATTAGATGATGTAGATCTGAATATTAAATAAAATTGCTTCCACTCATATAAAAAATAATATAGATTCTAGATTTAAATCTATTAACATTAACATTCATGATAAGTTAATAAATAAATAAAAAATAAAAATGTTAAAATAGTTTTAAATAGACCCTGACCTGCTAATAACACGCAACAACGGCTAACTAACTTAACACTTAAACTAAAATTAGTAGGCCTATATCATACTCTATAGTTACACCTTATAGGGACCTACTATTCATTATATTTATATAATTGAAATGTTGCATTAAATACCCTAAAAAAGCTATTTCCCAAATTGTTGTTGGAAAATTTTTGGGTTTAAAACTAAATTAAAGTTTGAATCAGTCATTTTTATGAGTCGTCTCAATGCTTGCTGCACGACAACTGGGCTTGTTTACATGCCGCCATATTGATCTCCAAGAAGTACAGCAGACACAAAACAAGGGCGGCTACTCTATTTTAAAAATCAAGTTGATGTCAAGAAGTCAAGAAGACCTAGAATCTACATTTAGTCTTCTAGATCTAAGAATCTAGATCTAGATTCTAGATCTAGAATCTAAATTTCAAAGTTAATTATTAATTAGTTGTAAGACCTTTCCCTTGCAGTTTTAGAATGAGCTAACAGGTTTAAAGTAAGAATAAGATACTGAAACTTTTATTACTTTTAAGTCATCTTAAAAGTAAAAGAGTAGTCTCGAAAATCATTAGTAAGACATAAAATAAGTGAATGGGTAACGTAATGTAATGTCAATGTGCATTCTTGAGTAGGGCCCTACAACGCAAGTTCAAACACTAAATATCTAGATCCGTAAGTGCTTGTTGGTTTGAAAGGAGAGAGATGGAAGAGTCTGGCTTTAAAAAGCATGCTTAGGTGGGGGGGGGGGGGGGGGGGGGGGGGTCGTCCATATATGACGTCACACTCGTAGGGGGAGGGGGGGGTCCGTAATTTTGTGACGGTGTGGGGGGTGTCAGATGGTGTGACGTCACTTGTTTTAATTATAAAAAAAGCAATGTTAGAAAGCGAGTTTTAGTTTTAGCCGTTATTTCGCGGTTGTAGGCCTAATAGGAATTGATCGAAATACTCTATGTTGACAGAGTTCTGACAAGATTTTGGAAAAATATCGATGTTTTAAAAAAAATCAACTGCAATTTTGAGGGGGGGGGGTTGTAGGCTGAGGTGTGACGTCAATTTAGGGGGGTCTGTCTTTTTGTGACGACGTGTGACGGAGGGGAGGGGGAGGAGTAAAAATCGTCAAAAAAAGCGTGACGTCATTTATGGATGACCCCGCCCTAAGTGCTAAATCCAGTTGTTTTTTTTTAAATCACTTTTATGGTGAAAATGTGTGACGTCACATTGGACATCCTGTCTTCTCCAACTGCAATTTTAATGTAGGCTTCTATATCCGCCCTCTATTGTCCAACCAATTTTTACTAGGTTGATACCTAGTTCAAATGTCCACAACTTGTGTTTGCTTTAGCCCAACTAAGTCCCCACCCCCAAATCTCAACATACGGCAAGTTTACCTGTGTTTGCTTAGTCCGCCCTACTACCCTCAGCCTAATCCCAACTGTCCAGGAACTTTATTGACGCCCCCCCCCCACTTTTTCCCTTCCCCACGACAAGTCCACTTGAGCTTGGTTTGTCCACCCCAACCCCCAACATAGCCTCCCCCCCCCAGCTGACCAGATACTCTTTCTGCTTCACTCCACATCGCAGACCCCCCCCCCCCAACCCCACGTAAAATCCTATCCTTAAGATCAACACACCTACTCAAACTGGAAACAATCGCATTTATATTGCATCATTTCCCCCCCCCCCCTCCAAACACATACATACACCCAGACCTCCCCACTCCTTGGGAACTACCCCCTCCCTCAAACTCCTATCCTAAAGATCAACAAACGTAGGTCTACACACACTTGACACGATCGCATTTTTATTGTATCATTCTCCCCACCTCCCAACGACCGTCGTCTGGGAACCCCCCCCCCCTCCCCCCACCCCCTTATCTTTTATCCTAAAAACCAACACACAGGTACACACACGCTGGACACACAGTTTTAATTGCATCATTCTTCCCCCCCCCCCCCAACACCCTCGCAACGACCTCCACGTGGAGGGCAGGAAGTGGACGACACTACGTCACCGTGTCTCGTGATCACATTACATAAACCCGAGGGGGTGGGGGTGGGGGTGGGCAGGTGACCCAATAAATTCTTCAAGTACAACTGAACT